AGTAACTTTTGGACTGGGCCTAAGGCAACACTGTGTCCCAAAGAACTGTTTGCAAGGATAACAAGAAAGCAAATATGACTACTGGACTGATGACTACTGTACTGAAAGTTGTTTTGAATCAGCATCTCTATGTAAGCTTACCTGCACCAATAGAAATGCCTGCCTTAACTGATGTAATTGTTCCCCTTTCCTTCCTCACGAATACTCTTTACTTTTGTCTCCTAATCTGAGGAGTTTGGATTTGGATTTCTGCCCAAATCTGAGTTTGGGTTTTTGCCTATATCAGTACTTTTTGAATAGCTGTTCTTTTTTTATCTCAAATAAATGCTTTTTGCCTCTTACTTTAGCCTTTTATTTTTAGGTTAACATTTCTTTAAAAGAGAATAACTTTACAGCGTTACATTTTTAAAAAGACAGGTGCTTTGTAAGTGTGTGCTAGCTAGTTCAGTGTCCAGAGTATTTATTGTTCATTGTCAGAAAACTGATATGAGTTCCAGTTCTGACTTTGTTACTTACTGTGTGACCCTGAGTAAGTCACTTACCTTCTCTGGACTTGATCCCTCATCTATAAAATGAGAGCGCTTCAGGATTCCTTCCAGCCCCAACATTCTGTTGAAAACAGGGCAAATCTACCTTTCAAATGTAGGCTCACTTCCAGAAAAGCAATTCCATGGAACAGCTGCAATCTCCAAATTTTTGCAGGAGCCTCTGCCTCCTCCCCCTTCCATGTCTTAGCAAATATTAATAGCCAAGGGCCTCCGTGAGTGTGGTTTTTAATAGAATCCAATTTCAGTCCATTTAGAGTGGGACTTTTCATGCTGACTTGGTAATTTGAACTGTCAGGCCTGAGGGACCGAATCCATTTTCCCTGTCTCTGCTGCTGGCCCTGGGCTGGTGGGGCGAGAGAGTATAGGCATTGGGAGTGGGAAGCAGGGGTTTCTTAATCAAAGTGGCTGCAGATGAGCTATTCTGACATCACATCCAGTCTCGTCTTTCCAACCTTGAGGCTGGGAGGAGAGTAGGCAATGACTGTTCTCTTTCCTGACAGTCGCCTTCACCTTGGAGCTCAGAAGCCACTGGCCTCTGGGTGGAACCACGGGAAGGAAACTGTGTTGCTCTTTGGATGTGACTAAAAGACTGTTGGTTCTGGAAAGCATCAGAATTATCCCAAATGATTGCTATAAATTCTCTGGTATGCTAGGAGACAGCGTGCGGTGCAATAGGGGGCTTCCTCTGCCCCCTGCATTACCCAAGTACTGGTCCTGTTCGACCAGAGTAATCCAAGGGCCTGTCAGAAGCTGTCTTCCTTCTAGAGTTCAGTGTGGAAATATGGAAGACAAACAGACAGGTTTGTCTTCCACATGAATGCAGCCACACTATAAATGAGGAAACTGAGGCTGAGGGAGTGGGGAAGGACATGAATGTTTATCTCATGCTTACTCTGTGCTAGGCACTGAGCTGGGAGACAGGTATTTCTTAATCGTCCCAGCACCCTTTTAAGGGATATATAATATTGTCCTCATGTTTAAATGAGGCCAAAGAGGATCTGAAAAGTCAAGCAACTGCCCCAAGGCCACATAGCCGGTAGATGTCAAAGCTGGCATTCGAATAAAGCTCCATCTATCCACTGCTGAGATGACATCGTCTGAGGTAGTGGAGCCAGGGGCTCTGCTTTACCTGCTGGTCTACCTCAGCAGCAGCTCTTTAACCTGCCTGGTCATTAGAAACCCTTCAGCACTTAAAAACAACAGCACTATAGTATCTTGAGCATTTCCCCATGAGTGATTCAATGGGTCTAAGGCAGAGCCTGAGATTATGCATTTTTAAAAAGCTACTTCAAATTACTCTGATGTTTGGGAAAGCACAGCAGTGGAGCATATGGCTTCTCTTATAACCCAGGTCTCCTAGGATTTCTTTAGTTCTCAGGAGCACAGATCCAATCCAGCCCTGCATTTACCTCAGGTAACATCTGCCACTGATGTGACCTGATGCTATTTTTCATCCATCCCAGGCTCAACGCTCAACATTTATTGGGCACTTACTGTGTGCAGACATGGTGCTAGGCATTCTGGCTGCAAAAATGAACAAAGCACCGTGCCTGCCTTGAATATCCAGGGAGTGGGGGAGGCAAACATAAACAGGAGATTCCAATTCACTGTAGCAAATGCTTGCCAGAGGTAGGTTCATGTTGCTTTAGGATTGCAGACTAAGGGGTCAGGGAAGGCTTTCAAGTAGTGATACTTAGGGTCCTAAAGGAGTTAGCAAGGCAAAGAGGGAGTTGGGCAGCTAGGCAGAGGGAACAGCACGGAAAGGCCCAGAGACCCAGAACAAAGGGCTCAGGGGATGACAGGCAGCTGTGCAGCAATGGAAGGGAGGGTAGCTTGAGATGACGACCAGCAGGTGAGCCCAGAAGAGTCAGTGGGAAAAATCACATGCAAGCCCTCGTGGGTTATGCTAAGGAATCTGGCTTCGGAAATGATGAGGAGCCACTACAGATGTTCAAGCTATGGAGCGATATGGTCAGTTGTGTTTCAGAAAGGCCACCCAGACAGAAATGGGAGAGTGAGCCACAGGCAGAAGAAGCCGGCAACAGAGGAACAAATTAATTGCAGAATTAAGAATTTATGTTTGTCCAAAAAAGGACCATAAACAAAATTAGAAAGCAAAGCACTTAGAAAGCATATTTGCCATGTTTCTTGACAAAAATAACATTCTTAATAAAATTACATGTTGATAGTAAAGGTAAACATACCAATATCGAATAAATAGAAAATTCACAAAGAAAGAAGTACAAATAAGCATATGAAGATGTTGTCAGTAATAATCAAAGAAATGCAAGTTCAAATAACATTGACATCCTAATATTTTCCTATCAAATTGGTGAAGATTTGATAAGTGCTAATACTCACCGTGAGTGAGGGTGCAGGGAGCAGGGCACTCTCAAGACTGCAAATAAGAGAGTGCTTTAGTACAAACTCTCCAGAGGACAGTTGGCAACTGATATTAAAATTCTTAAAGATAGCCAAGCAATGTTTCCTTGGATTTTTATCCTAAGAGTCATAGAGATGTGCAAAATTTAGCTGCAAGAATATCTATTGCAACCTTATTTACAATGAAGACTGGGAACAAAGGAAATAACCACCATTAGAAGACTGGTTACCAAATGAGGGCCCATCTGTATACTGGCGACAATGTTGAAAAAGTTTGAGAGACATACAAAAAATATTACGTTCCTGATATAGTGAGGGAAGTAGCACAAGGTGCAGTGTCCACATGCTACCATTTGTGTGACAAAAGAATATATATAGATGTGTTGGAAAATGCTTAAATGTCTCTGGAAGGATATACAGGTATTGGGAGCAAAACTAGATACTGGCAGATGGGGTGGGAAAGAGATTTACTTCTTACTACAGAGATTTTTTTAATTTTTAAATTTTGTGTCTACGTACGTATTACATATTCTAAAATATAAATACACATTTTGAAAAGTAAGTTATTAAAGTGTATATATACAGTGCGATCTAGTTTTTGTTTAAAAAACAACAAGCAAACTGTGTATGTGCAGATGTACATTTATCCCAAAGAGAACCAAATGATACATCCCAAAGGATTATGATATTTGTCTTGGGTAGTAGGATTGTGGGTTAGTTTGTCTCCCCTCCCTAAAATTCTACAATACACATATGAGGCTTTTACAATAATTACAGGAAAAGTATAATTTTTCCCCTCCGAAGAGTCTATCACAAAAGTCCAAGCAGGAGACGACAAAGCAGGTGAGGTCCAGGTTAGTGCTCCAGGTAGAGTTCAGCAGTGACATCTGCAAACACAGTGTGTCATTAAATGACAGTCCCCATTTGGGGGAGGAGTGGGGAGAAGGTAAGGTGAACACACCTGATTTTACTTAACAGCTCTCTGAAGTTTCTGTTGGACAAATGAACAGAAAATTCACCACTCAGACAAATACCAGCTAATTCCACCAGGCAGCTTCTTCCTTTGGGATCATTTAACTTTGGGTCCCAGTGAACAGAGTTCCAATAAGCACGTGGACCTAAGTCACCAGACAAGCAGGCAGCCTGTACACTTGGACTATGAGGTCCCACGAGGTCGTGTTCACCTGGTTTTGGTGTTCAACCTTTCTCTTGGGAAGGATGCAACAATCTTATCCCCTCCTGTCCAGCCCTGCCACAACTCACTCTTTGAGGCAAATCCTCTCTCCTGACCCATGTTGGAAATAGCTACTCTGAGTCCTTCCTGAATGCAAGACCAAAGGAAGACCCTGCCAGTTTGACCGGTTCTGCAGGCCACCTCTGACCCCATCTTACCCTTCAGATTCTAACAAGCAGTTCACCAACTCACAGGCTTTCTGGGCTGAAGGCTTGGGGACGGGGGTTCGCGTGTTTGCCTGTGCTATGTATACCACAGGGTGGTTTCAAATTGGGGTCCCGTGAAACCATTTTGGAGGAAGAGGGCAGAGAGAAAGACGTGGTAGGGGTGGGGTAGAATGTGGCAGCTATAGAGGCCTTTTCCTTTTCCTCTTATCTAGAGGTTGAGCTACAGGCAAGCAACTGTGGGCCCTTGGATATTTCTAGCACTTTCTTCTGGTCCAGTTAGAAGCCTTTGAGAAGCTATGTGAATATCACTTGTGCTGCTGGCTTCTGGGCCCCTCAGCAGTGATTAGATCCTGCAGTGGTGGGGCCTCTGATTAAACAAATAACCCATAATTAACTCTGTATTCCCTTTTCCTCTCTGCCTAGAACTATGCTTCTTCCCCGATGCTGGGGATGAAGTGAGGAGAGCTAGGTGGGTTGTTTGGATACGTGCTGGCCCTTCAGCAAGTAGAATGAACAATACACAGAAAGAACTGCTGGGTCTTGGTTATCTTTTCCTGGCCTGTCACCTCCCTGTCCACTAGGGAGTCTAGTGCTAGTGACTTTTTTTTTTTTTTTTTTGCTTTGGGCATTTTAAATACAAGAGGCAGCTCATGTACCACCATTGACATAGTCAAGGCTTTTCAACAAAATATACACGGTCCTGCTCTTGAATGGTTGTAGCTGCTCGATATACTTTGTAGAGCAGCAGCTAACGATAAAGCAGTTCATAGCTAGAGCTCTGGGGTCAGATAGACCTGGTTCAAATCCTAGCTATTCCACTTAAGGCCATGCCACCTTGGGATAGTTAATTTTCCTGGTTTTCAGTTTTCTTATCTATCAAACAGAAATGCTATCTCGTAGGCAATTGCATGAAAGAAATGAGCTTATACATGTAAAGATCTGAGGATAGTGCATTTAATAAATGCTAACTATTAACATTATTGCATCTGTATATATATTAATTTATACAATACCGTCTCTCACCAATCACACTAAAAATACATGAAAGTGCTTGAAAAATTTAAAGCGTTGTATAAATGATACGTGTCCTTGGTAATCATCTCACGTGAGTCTTTCTCAGCTCTTCCACAGGACCACGTCCTATGCCCCACAGCGTATTGCACATTGACAGGCAAACAATAAGCCCTCAGGAGATGTTTCTTATTGGACTGAAGCAACATGGCATAAAGAACAGATATCAGGAGACTAGTCTTGGATAAAATTAGTTTAAGGCAGGAGAGCCAGTCTGCAGTCGTAATTTATTCATTCAACAAATATTTGTTGAACACATTCTCTGTGCTAGATATTGAGTCCAGCTACTGTCATCAAAAAGAGGAGGTACAGGTCCCACAAAGCCCAATCCCTGGGCCGTCTCGGCAACCCCAGCCTACTCTAAAAGCACAAAGGTGGCAGCCAATATTGTTTACCACCGAACAAATGGCCCAGTGCTTTGGGGGAAGCCCCATCCTGCCTGGCTGTAAGTAGCTCTGAGTGAGTTGGGGGAGGGAGTAAAAAGGGAGGAGTGGGCTGCTTCCAACAGAAATGACAGGAACTGCTGCCTGTTCATTTATTTTTATTTACACTTAATTAGTCCACTGTTCAGTTGCCCAGTCTATACAATGCTCTCTCCCTCCCCACGTCACCTACGTGGTCAACCCTTGGCCCACTTGACCCTGCCCTTCTGCTGTCACAGCTGCCTGCTGGGGGGATGGGAGAATGGTATGTGTGGTCACCAGAGGGCATTGAGAGTGGGCTTCAGTGGCATGTGAATCCTGGCAGAGTCTCAGATCTCCGAGGGCGAGAGAAGAAAGCACAAGCCAAGACAAGAAGGGGAGGCAGGGGCTGAGGCTGCTGGGGGCAGGGGGGGGAATCCAGTGTACAAATTCACGGCCTCTTTCCAGGCTTAATCAGTGCTCCCGGTATTTGTCTCATCCCTGGGTTTGTCACAGTTGCCTTGAGATGCTCTGGTCTGTCAGAAAGGTGTGGAGGGTCCAGCAGTGGGCTCTGGGCCTGCTGCCTTTGGGATGGTGGTACACCCGGCAGGCTCTGCCTCTGGCAGAAGCTCAGGCTTCCTGGCCTGTGGGAGTCCTCCCCAGCTCCTCAGCTGTCCCCACAGAGGTTAGGTCCCTCTCAGTGGCTGACTTACTAGAGAAGCGGCTATCTCCATTGTCGGGGCAACCCACCAGATTCCAAATTTGTGTCTCCTTTTCACATTGGGAGTAGACAGAGTTGAGGGGCAACAGGAGGAAGAGCTGGGAGGGGGGCTAACGGAAGTGGGGAGAAAGGACCAGAACCCAGGGAGGGGCTCTCCACCAGGGGATGCCTAGAAGTCCAGGGTCAGGTGCAAGTGCAAGTCTAGAGAGGTGTTGTAGTTACATGGCTTCCTTCTCTCTCTGGGAGCATCGGCTGAGCTTCATCTCCGTCAGCTGGATATACCGGATCACGTTGGTGTCTGCGAGGAGAGAAACACACCTTAGGGAACACTTGGTGAGGGCAACTATTTGGTCTACAGCTATCTCTGAAGATCATGGACAGGCCAGGCTCACTCAGCCAAGGTCCGTGATGGCTGAGAGGGCAAGCGGGATGCCAGCATTCTTCTCCACAGCCTCTCCTTTGCAAATGTGAACAGGTCACCCTGACCCAGGGACAGACGATAAGGAGAGGAGAGGAGGAGGGATCTCTCCCTTTATTTCTATGAAACAGCATACTCCAGTGCTCCTGAGTCAGCACAGTTAGTTGAGGCTCTGTTCAGAGTTTAACCCCAGGCACCTTAGCAACTTCTCTGAGCCTCCTGTCTTGGCTGCAGGAAACCACCTTCATTTTTGAATGCCTACTCTGGGCCACATTATCTCATTTAACTCTTAATAAGATCCTGTAAGGTATGGAGCATCATCCTCACTGTGACAAAAGGGAAAATTGGGCCCCAGAGAGGTTAAGTGTGATGCCCAAGAAGATACATAGTATGTGGTGCATCTGATTCCAAAGCCTGCCTCTCCTGAGGATCATAATACCTTCCTCATGACATTGCTGTGAGGACCAAAACAGGTTAGTCTAAAAGTGCTTAATCTGCCCAGCCGGGCGTGGCTCAGTGGTTGAGTATTGACCTATGAACCAGGAGGTTACGGTTCGATTCCCGGTCAGGGCACATGCTCAAGTTTCGGGCTCAATCCCCAGCAGGGGGCGTGCGGGAGGCAGCTGATCAATGTTTCTCTCTCATTGATGTTTCTCTCTCTCTCTCCCCCTCTCCCTTCCTCTCTCTGAAATCAATAAAGACCCATTTAAAAATAAATAAGTAAAAGTGCTTAATCTAATGATAAATATTAGTTGAATGTAATTTTTTAAACTGAAGAGTTTCAAATGACTTTGCTTCATTGTCTTATTTTTGTCCTTATAAGTAGAATCAGACCACCTCACCTCAAACAGGGGAATTATTCCCCAATCCCAGCTCTTAAATTAGTGAGCAGGGTATGGCATGGAACAGCTGCTCAGCTCTGCACATACCAGCATATAAGAGTCACAGGGCTGCCTGAGATGTTTACTTCCAGAAGTAGAAACGAATGCTGTAGAAAATGCCAGGCATGGCATCTAGAACAGTGCTGGTATGTAGTAGGTATTCAAGATAATTCTGTTGAATGAGTCCAGTTCTTAGTCCTCAAGTGGGTTACAGTACAGTTGGGGAAACTCAACTGATATACAGAAAACTAATCAACACATAAAAATAATGATATTGGTGTTCTTACAAAAATAAAGAAAAAAGTGTATACATTTGGAGGTTTGCAAATTGATCCTAAAGTTCTGAAAGACTTCTTGGAAGGAGAAGTGCATTTTAAAAAACTGACCATATGAACAACAATGGCAGCATCCAGTCAAAGTCATTGTTGAAATGTTACCTCTTCAGAGAGGCTCTCTCTTACTACCAGGTCTACAATAGCACCCCATTTACTCTTGATCCTGCTTTATTTTCTTCACAGCACTCAACACTACCAAATATTACATTATCTTTCCATTTGTTTACTGTCCGTCTTCCTCCATTATAACCTAAACTCCTTGAAGTTAGCAGCTGACATCTACCCAGCACCTAGAATAGTTCCTGGACCATTGCAACTGCTTAATCAGTATCTGTGGAATGACTGAATGGCTGAGCTAGTGGTACAGATAAGGCATGCTCTAAGAAATGGGATCCGAATGGAGAAGGCAGAGCATGCTTCCTGGGAGATACAGGGCTCAGCAGTCAAATCATTCCTTTGCATTTTGTTTTGCCAACCAATGTGGCAAAAGGAGGGGCCAAGCTTTCTTACCCACATCCCTGGTTCCCAGCAACAAATCTTGGCACACCATAAGAATTCAATACATATTTATTGGATAAGGGAAGAAAGCTGGATTCTGGGTTAGAAAAGACAAAGAATTCCATATTCTATTGGAAGAGGTTCCCAAGCTCCCTGGAAGCCAGACCCCAGGCAAANCAAGTTTCGGGCTCAATCCCCAGCAGGGGGCGTGCGGGAGGCAGCTGATCAATGTTTCTCTCTCATTGATGTTTCTCTCTCTCTCTCCCCCTCTCCCTTCCTCTCTCTGAAATCAATAAAGACCCATTTAAAAATAAATAAGTAAAAGTGCTTAATCTAATGATAAATATTAGTTGAATGTAATTTTTTAAACTGAAGAGTTTCAAATGACTTTGCTTCATTGTCTTATTTTTGTCCTTATAAGTAGAATCAGACCACCTCACCTCAAACAGGGGAATTATTCCCCAATCCCAGCTCTTAAATTAGTGAGCAGGGTATGGCATGGAACAGCTGCTCAGCTCTGCACATACCAGCATATAAGAGTCACAGGGCTGCCTGAGATGTTTACTTCCAGAAGTAGAAACGAATGCTGTAGAAAATGCCAGGCATGGCATCTAGAACAGTGCTGGTATGTAGTAGGTATTCAAGATAATTCTGTTGAATGAGTCCAGTTCTTAGTCCTCAAGTGGGTTACAGTACAGTTGGGGAAACTCAACTGATATACAGAAAACTAATCAACACATAAAAATAATGATATTGGTGTTCTTACAAAAATAAAGAAAAAAGTGTATACATTTGGAGGTTTGCAAATTGATCCTAAAGTTCTGAAAGACTTCTTGGAAGGAGAAGTGCATTTTAAAAAACTGACCATATGAACAACAATGGCAGCATCCAGTCAAAGTCATTGTTGAAATGTTACCTCTTCAGAGAGGCTCTCTCTTACTACCAGGTCTACAATAGCACCCCATTTACTCTTGATCCTGCTTTATTTTCTTCACAGCACTCAACACTACCAAATATTACATTATCTTTCCATTTGTTTACTGTCCGTCTTCCTCCATTATAACCTAAACTCCTTGAAGTTAGCAGCTGACATCTACCCAGCACCTAGAATAGTTCCTGGACCATTGCAACTGCTTAATCAGTATCTGTGGAATGACTGAATGGCTGAGCTAGTGGTACAGATAAGGCATGCTCTAAGAAATGGGATCCGAATGGAGAAGGCAGAGCATGCTTCCTGGGAGATACAGGGCTCAGCAGTCAAATCATTCCTTTGCATTTTGTTTTGCCAACCAATGTGGCAAAAGGAGGGGCCAAGCTTTCTTACCCACATCCCTGGTTCCCAGCAACAAATCTTGGCACACCATAAGAATTCAATACATATTTATTGGATAAGGGAAGAAAGCTGGATTCTGGGTTAGAAAAGACAAAGAATTCCATATTCTATTGGAAGAGGTTCCCAAGCTCCCTGGAAGCCAGACCCCAGGCAAATGCATGGGCTGTGTGCTCTCCTCGTTCCAGGTCCTAGTGCCCACCTGACCCCATATTTGCATTTCTCCACCTGCCTGGCCCTGCACCATGAGAGCTGTCTCACTGAGAAGGCCCAGGAGCTGCCAGAGGGGGCTGCCTTACCTGTTGGCTGTCGGGTCCTTGCTTCTTTCAGGTAGTAGAGTGCTTTATCATAGTCCCCAAGGTGGTAGAAGGCCACACCAGACCGGTAAAGGGCCTTGAAGTTCTCCCCTTCCTTCTTCAGGACTTTGAGGCAATACTCCTTGACTCGTTCATAGTTGACCAGCTCCGCCTGGAGCAGGCAGGCTACAGGAAAGACAAAGAAGGGAAGATGCCATCAACACAGCAGCAGGCTCTGAATGTCTCTCTTTGGTTCTTTCTTCCCATCCAGAGAAGTTTAGGAGTGTTGGGGCTTTACATGGGGGTCATGCCATAAAATATGTCATCAAATAATCCTGGTTCTAGGACCCAGTTTCATCACCAACAAGCTGTATGACTGAGCAAATTCCTTAGCCTTGGATTATGGGTTGAATTGCGTCCTCTCACGCTTGCAAAAAAAAAGTTGGATTCTGAACTCCCCAGTACCTCAAAATGTGACCTAATTTGGAAATGGGGTTTTTACAAAAGTAATCAAGTTTAAAAAAGGTCATCAGACTGGGTTCTAAACCAATATTACTGATGTCCTTATAAAAGGGGTGCTACAGGTTGAATGTTTCCGTGCCCCCCCCCCCCCAAATTCAT